CTGCTGCTGCTGCTGCTGCTGCTGCTGCTGCTGCTGCTGCTGCTGCTGCTGCTGCTGCTGTACCACGACGGCCTCGGCCGCGGCGTCCAGGACAGCGGCCAGCGCCAGGCCGCCCGGCGAGGGGCCCTGGCCGGCGGCCTCCAGGAGGCCCTCGGGGACCAGCAGCAGCGTGTGGCCGGGCAGAGACACGCTGAGGACCGCCGTGGGCGCGGGCTCCAGCAGCAGGTCGACGTCGTCCAGCGGCAGCTGCAGGGCGCAGCCGGCGGCCAGGACCACGACCACGACGGAGGGGAGCGCCGAGGCGGGCGGGGCCGCGGGCGGGGCCGGGAGGCCGGGCTGGGGCCCGGGCTCGGCGGCCGCGGGCTCCTGCACTCGGCGGCGCTTGGCAGGGCCGGCTGCTCCGGGCTGCGGGGGCCCCGCGGGCTCAGGGCAGGCGCTGGGGCTGCGGGGCCGGACGCCCCTCATGTCGACGGCGCTGCGGGCTGCGCTCCGGGGGCCTGGCAGAGGGCGCGAGGGGCGACGGGCGCGGGCTTCGCGGGCTTCGCGGGCTTCGCGGGCTTCTGGGCGCTGTCAGGTCCGGGGTCAGGAGTAGCGGCCTGCGGCGGACGGACGGGTGAGGCGGTCTGCGGCGGACAGGTGAGGTGGCGTGGGATGTACGGGTGAGGTTCCCTGAGGCAGACGGGTGAGGAGGCGTGAGGCTGTCTGGTGGTCTGCGGTCCAGCTTCGGGGCTCGGCCTGGAGTCTTGAAATCTTCAGCCTTCCATGTACAGACCCGGATGCAGAATGGACGACCAATCGCGTTGCGAGCGTGGCTCTGGGAACCGAAGTGCCTGTACATCCCACTAAGCCCTGCTCCTGGAGGCTCCGCCCTGAGGCGGGGCAGCTGAGGACAATCCAGGGCTGTGGTTGGTTGGTTAATGTGCGGGAACCTTAGGGGGCGGGCCACTGTGCGACTCCTGGGCTTGTCAAGTTCTCGCGGGCTTTCTCACGTTGATACTGCATAATGTTCAGGTCGCGCGAGTGGATTATCACATCAGGATTTCCAGGTGACAACCCTGACCCGGAAGTATCCTGGGCGCCATTTTTATTCCTGGAGGTTTTTTTTGATTTTAGGTGAGATTCATAGGCCTGTGTTTCGCCTAAGTTGTCAATGGCTGGTGTGGCCCCGCAGGGTGTTGGGAAGGTAGGGGATAGAACGCGCTCACCACGCGTGGCGATTTCTGTGTCCTTTGACCTAAGTGGTAACTCTTAGGTATATGAGCCTTTAGCCCAAGTTCCAGGTGATGAGCATGTTTAAGTTATTAAGGAGCTTGCTGGGAGCAGGGGACTGGTTGCAGGGGTGGCGTTGCCAGCGCCCGGAAGCCGCAACATTTTAGCGTCAGCGCTCCGAGAGAGTTGGAAAGCAGCCTGCATGGAGCTTGCTGAAGGGAAGGTGCGGCTCAAACCGCCTTCAGTGCTAGAAGGGGAAGAACCCCCACACGGCTTCCAGGATAGGTCATGTTTACAAATGGTTCCTGAGGACTACAAAATCTTTCTTCTCGTCTCTGATTTTATTAAATCGTCACCTTGGAGACGTCACATTGTGACTGCTTACCATTCAAAATATTTTGTGCACTTAAAACCAAATCACATGCATGTTACTCATCTCCCTTTTCTTTTTATAACATTTATTTTTAAGGGCTACCTAGTATTCCTTTGCATCAATCAAACCTCTCCGGGTGGACGTTTAAGTCTGGCACTTGGTGGCATTGGCATCCTTTTGGAGGTTTCTGGGATACGCACATTTAATAAAACCAACTGTATTCCCCGTCCATTAACTTAACAAGAGATTTATTTGAAACGCTGAGCGACAGAGAAATTTCCAGCTGCTGCTTAATTCCCTAAATGGCTGCAACAGCCAGGCCTGGGCAGGGAGAAGGCGGGAACGCAGAACTCCATCTTGGTCCTCCAGTGGGCGTCAGAGGCCCTCACCTGCTGCTCTCCCAGATCCAGTAGCAGAAAGCTGGGTCCGAGGCAGTGTACCGGGGGCTGGGCTGCGACAACCCAGCACACTGGGAGAGGGGGTGCAGGTATCGCAAGCAGAAGCCTAAGGCTTGGCGCCAGCAGCCCCGGAAATACGGATTCCTTGCCCCGCCTCAGAGCCTCTGAGTAGGAGTCTTGGGACAAGGGTCTTGGGAATTGTCTGCAATCACCTTCAAAGAATTCTTTTAAGCTGAAGTTGCAGACCGGTGAACCTGTCTCATGTAGCAGTTGAGGGGCTCATGCGGGGAGCGGGAGCTGCATGCTTCCACAGGGCCCTGCTTCGGGGCCGTGCTCGCTGTCTTTCCCCGCGTTCCTGGCCTTGCCGGTGGCCTGCAGATTGGCAATTGGCCTGGATTCTGGTGTTCCCAGCTGCGCTGCTGGAAAACCGCGGGCACCGGCGGGAAGGCTGTTGGGTGGTGTTAGGAAAGACCTGGCTAGGAGCCTGATGGCGTCTCAGGCACGTTGGGCGTCTCCCATGGGGGCGCAAGTGGGTAGTCCTGGCTGATAGGTTAGGAGGGGCGCCTTGGCTGGGTGTTCCGCTGGCTGAGGGCGGGTTGGCCTGGAGGTGGCTGGAAAGACCTGCTTGGGGCCTCTGAGTTCCATCCGCGACCCTTGAGCGTTCCATGCAGGGGGAACGTTGGGGAACACCAGGTGGGAGAGAAGGAGAGGAGTCAGGGGGGAGGGGCGGGGATGGCAGGCTCTTGGCGGGGCCTCCGGTGGTGCCCGAGCTTGCCTGGCCTCAGCGGGCTCACCACGCCGCGTCCTGGGCCCTGGGCTTGACCCCAACTCTGTGGGCTCAGAATCCTCACCGCGAACTCCCCTCCGAGGAAAGGTGGCCCCACTTCGGGTGGGAAGCCCTTAGCAGGGCTCCTGGAGGAGGCACCCCTGGTCGCCTCTCCTAGGCTCCGTGCTGACGGTGACTGTGGGCAAGTCACCTCAGCTGGCCCCAGCCTCAGACGCGGAGAATGCCATCTGCTGTGCTGAGCGGTCGCGGATGTACAGTGTTCCTGGGACCTAGGAAGTGCTCAGTAAAGAGTAGCTGTTGGTCCCGTGTTTTATCATTGCTGTCTCCCACTGGGCAGTGCCAGCCCTGTTCCCCAGTGGCGTGTTGCATACAACAGCATCATCATTATCCCAAAAAGGGATTTGACCTGTTAAGAAACACTCTCAGGTGTTTTCATGGTTCAGACACGGCCAGGCTGGGCACCCGATCAGGTGCTCTGCCCCGACCTGATTCTTCTTAAGACCACCAAGAGGCTGGCGCTGAGGCGCAGCGGGTTAATGCCCTGGCCTGCAGTGCCGGCATCCCACATGGGCGCCGGTTCTAGTCCTGGCTGCTCCTCTTCCAATCCAGCTCTCTACTGTGGCCCGGGAGGACAGTGGAGGCTGGCCCAAGTGCTTGGGCCCCTGCACCCACGTGGGAGACCCAGAAGAAGCTCCTGGCTCCTTGCTTCGGATCAGCGCAGTTCAGGCATTGCGGCCATCTGGGGAGTGAACCAGCGGATGGAACACCTCTCTCTGTCTCTACCTGTCTCTGTAACTCTCTCAAATAAAAGAAATTTAAAAAAAAAGACCACTGAAGATGGTGAATTAGCATGCTGCTCATTGGGCTGCCCTGGCGTCAATCAATACCCCCTAACCAATCAGTATGAAGTGCTTGTATCTGCATGTGGGCAGGGTTGGTGAAAGTGACTTGAGTCAAGTGTGGGCCAGGAGTTTAGAAATCGTGGGGCGAGTAGGACTTTGCGGAATGCGACTCGAGTTTCAGGTACTTGGGCGCTGTGACTCCTTCCTGGTGCGTGTGAGGCCCTGCGGGACTGGCACTCTCGGCATTGACTGTAGCGAGGGCCCTCTGTTATCCTCTATAATGCAGAGTTAGTGACTTTTAAAAATCCCTCTTTATTTTTGTTCATCAAGCAATAATATTTGCATACACTATCAAAAATAGTCCAAACAGTGTAGCTAAAGTTGAAGTCTCCTGTCAGCTCTCCCTCCAACCACTAATCCAGAGTTGGTGTGATCAGACCCCTTTCTGTTTTTAGCAGACATAACATAGGGTTTCCGCGTTCTTTTTGGAATGGTAACAGATTGTGGGTGTTTTCCTGCAATTATGTTGGGCCTCACTGCTATTTGGTATCGTTATCTGCAGTGTCCCTTTTATGTTATTCAAGAGACTTTTTACTAACATGCAATACTGGCTTCTATAATATGAGTATCTTATTTTAAAATATTGTGTAAGTACAAGACAGAGAGATTTCAAAAATCTTGTGTGCGGCAGCATTTTTGCCTTTGCCTCTAAAAGAATGATGGAAGTGGCCCATTTCTGCTTGCCTCGAAGGAATTCTGGCAATTCTAGAATGCGATGCTGTAAAGTTACCTTTACTTCCCGGACACGAAGGCCTGAGTGGCTTTGTATTACTAATGTAGTACAAAGATTAGCTGTGTGTTGGCCTGTGTGATCACAAAATCATTAATCTCTTAGTGTTCTAAGGGTGCAAAAGCTGGCATTAGTTATTTGGCTATTTGGCTTTTAAAGGCTTAGGCTGAAGCTAAATAGAAGATTTTTATCAATTACTTAAACTGAAGTCAAACTTAAGAGCGTTCCTGTTAGAACTGGAAATGATTTCTGTATATTAATTTTGTATTCAGCCATCTTATGGAATTTTTATTTTCAATATTTTCTAATTATGTGATATATAGTGGTGATATTTTCTACCTTTCACAGTTTTATACCTCTAGTTCCTTTCTCTTGTGTAGTTTTGTTGGCTGGTAACTCTGGTACTTTTTTTTTTTTGAAAGATTTTTATTTATTTATTTGAAAGAGTTATACAAAGAGAGAAGAAGAAGCAGAGAGAGAGAGAGAGAGAGAGAGAGAGAGAGAGAGGTCTTCCATCTGCTGGTTAACTCCCCAAATGGCTGCAATGGCCACAGCTGCACCAATCTGAAGCCAGGAGCTTCCTTCGGGTTTCCCACGCAGGTGCAGGGGTCCAAGGACTTGGGTCATATGCCACTGCTTTCCCAGCCCACAGCAGAGAGCTGGATCAGGTGGCGGCACTACCTGCTACACCACAGCGCTGGCCCCTGGTATAATGTTAAGTAATACCAGGAGAGTGGCATCTTTTTGTTCTAGGCTTTGGAGAGAATGCTACTGATGTTTGCTGGTTTGACAGTGGTCATTTCTTAGAAGTAAATGTTATGCTTAAGAAATATGACTCTCCATCTGTTTTATTATGTTCTTAATGCTGTATTTGAAAATAATTCCAAGTTTACAGAAGCACTGCAAAGACAGTGCAAAGAATTCCTACTTACGCCATATTAACTTTTTTTTTTTTTTTTTTTTTGGACAGGCAGAGTTAGACAGTGAGAGAGACAGAGAGAAAGGTCTTCCTTCTGTTTGTTCACTCCCCAAAATGGCTGCTATGGCTGGCGTGCTGAGCCAATAGGAAGCCAGGAGTCAGG